CCAGGTACAAATTTTTTTCATTACTTTTATGGATTAGATTCATCTTCATTATTGGAATATAAGCATTTTTATTGTTCTGGAAAGTCCAACTTTCGTATTTCTTTTTAAATTTTAGGTTGCATAATAAAAATTAATTTTTTATTTTTTAACTTATTCAACTTATATATTATATTATTTAAATTTAAAATTTTTTTATTTCTATTAAAAAATTAGTATTAAATTGTTTAAATCTTGACCATTTTTATATGTTAAAAAACAAAAGCATGGTGTACAACTTAGAACAATTAAATATAAGTACATGATTCAAGAAAAATTTAGAAATAACTTGTCATTTGCAACAATATAATTTACAATTTTGAAATTGAGGAGCGTTAGCCTCTACATATTAACCAATTGATTTGAGACTATGATTATTATTATTAAAAAGAAAAAACAATAACAACAACAATAATAACCTAGCCAGTTGCTTTTGCAGTGCATTTGAAAATGAAAATGGCCTTTAGTTTAAGGGATGCAAAGAGTGAAAATGGGCCAGACCAATGTAATTCCTTTGGATGGTTGGATTTCCGTCAGGCTGCTGGGCTTTGTCCAATCCATTATGTGAAACAAATTGGGCTTTGTTCTGTCCACCATGTTACACCATTGGGCTTTGTTTAGCCCATTAAGTGACATTACGTTGAATTTCCAACTTTACCCCATGCATAGCGAAGTTCTTAGGCATGAATCGTGTGACCGTGGGAGCAAGTGGAATGTGCATTAAGTGACCGTGCGAGCAACTTATTAATTGGACTAAAAATGTATGTATATATATATTTATTTATTTAATAAATTAATTGATAGATAAATAAAAAGTTTTTTTTTTAGAGTTAAAAGGCTAAAAAAATGTTTAAAATAATTGTAAAACGAAAATTGTGTAAAACTCTAAAGTTAATAGACTAAAATTATTATTTAATCTTAAATAATATTATTAACCTTAAATAGTTTGACAAGCATTCTTATACATTTTTTTCTTATGAGAATGCTTGGTTTGAGAGGAATGAAAAGGAGGGAGGATTTTTTGACTAATCATATTATAATATTTTAAAAAGTTATAATTTAATCAGTAAAAAAGTTTTCTCTTTTTTTATATTTCTTTTAAACCAAATATACTATATAAGTTATTTAAAAAATATTTTTTTGTATTACTAATATAATATATTATATAAATCTTATTTAAATTACTAGCCATTAATTTTTAAATTCAATTGTTTAAAATGATAGCATAATGT